CACAACGAATGTAACTTTCTTATCCGACACTTTTACATTCCAAGGACCAACAAAAATTTAATAGACCAAAAGATAAAAACCATGGAGCATGAATTGGTTGCACTTGCACATTAAATGAAATTACATTACACTATCAAACTCCATTCTACAACATCTAAGATTTAAAAAGCAGCAACACATGAACAAATACATTACGTTTATAACGGTAAAGAAAGAATCTCACAAGTCACAAACTCGAAATGGAAAATTACAATTTTAAGGAAAAATCAAATAAAAAGTTTTTCTTCTTCTTTCAAAGGTCACGAAGGTGGAGGAGATTAAAAGGAGTAACGAATTTGGAGTCACCAAAGACTAATTTATCTGCAATGAGAAGATTAGCAGCTTCGCTAGGATGGTACGGGTCCCAAAACACATGCTTTGACCGGTCCGTACAAAGGCTCGAGGTTGGTCCACATGGCAATATCCCTGCCAATCTCCCTCCCGTCCCACAGCACGCCTCACTCGCCGTCCTAAACCCTATCATTTTCCACAATAAAATCACACGTTTTTCAAAAATGTATTAAATAAACCAATAAAATAGTACAAATATGATAATGCCAAGTTGCAAAAGTGGCGATACTAGTTTCCCTTTTTTTGCTAGTAAATGAACACAACACTTATATTATAATGGTCGATGGATGTTTTTGAAAAGCCCATGGACCATGAGATATAAATATTCTTACCATAGTCTTTGTAATTGACAATGAGGTCCATGACTAGATCAAAGACGTTGGCATGAACGAAGTGTGCGTCTTTAAAACTATCTTTCAATTCCACCAACAAGAGATCTTTGAGACGAGCATTGTACTGAAGAGCCAGTTTGTTTGCTAAATCAACACACTGCTTGTCCTTTAATTGATTGATCGATTTTTGGTATGGTATACACCCGATGGGAGCCACATTCCCCACCACAAATTTACGAGCGTCCAGTGCATATAATCTCTGTAATTTTATCAAGAGAAAATATGTTAAATTACATCCAAAAATATTCACAATTCATAAGTTTTGTAACATACCTTAAGTTGGTCACGAAGATGGTTGATCATGTCATCAACAAAAGCTTCAGGGGTTTGTGTTAACCTTGCTTGAGCCGCGACAAAAGGGACTAGATAGTTGTTGAGAAAATCGTTTGAGCCAATGACTATGGAGAATATGGATCTCTTCCTGATGTAATCTCTGGCCTTATCTTCACCCAAAAGCTTATCAAATTGCTTTCTTGTAATGCTAAAGTAATCGACTTGTATATCCATTCCTAACCGATTCACCTACAAAATCGTAGTTTTGAAACATAAAAATATATACAATGGTCCACATGCATGTTCATATTCATAGATAAGAATATATTTTTAATCAGAAAACAAAACTTAACCCATATTTATAAAAAAATTTAAAGTGAATTTTAGCGTAAACTTTTCCTGCCAACCAAACGTACGTGACACATAATATACGACATATAATGTTTGGATGAAGACAAAGACACTTACAAATACACTTCCAGTAGCATTGAGAATACCACCACCACCTGATGCGTAATTCACACCATCTAATATTGCTTCACCACTTGCATTTGGTGATAAATATGGAACTGCATAATTTGGTTGTCCTAACTTTTCTCCTATAGAGACAACAAAATAAACATTAGCACAATCTATTAAAACAATGAAAATCTGAATTATATTTTGGATGAAAGCTATTTATTAAATTACCAACGATATCAGCTATGGTACGACCATTAGTGAACCTTCCCGTTGGATTTCCACGAGATGGTTTGAAATCAATGCCATTAGGAGGACTATTGGCTCTAGACAACGTTTGTAAGTAGTTGTTATTTCCTGCATCTACTAGCGAATCGCCGAAGACGAATGATGCGGCTAAAGCGTTTTTGTCTCCTGCGCTAGCTACTCTTGAAAATCTTGATCCAAAGAAGAAGAACACAAAGAAAGTGACGAAGAAATAAGTTTTATTCATTTTCATGAAATGGTTTCTGAATTTCGATTTTCTGTTTTTGGTGTTCTTTGACAAAGAGGACTTTATATAGATAACTCTTTTGATTGGTAAAGAAGCTATGACAAGCAACCTTATGTGTTAGATTTGAAGCTGGGTTGTTTAACAAACTCGAGCTTTTTTTTAATGGTCAACATGTTTCCAATATTTTAAAAAAATTTGTTACAAAAATTGAAAGTTAGGACACCAATACTGTGATTTATGGTTTAGAAAATTTGAAACTAAAGTACCCTTGTTTTGGTATCTACTCTTAACTCTGTTACATCATCCTACAACATTGTTTTCTTTACCGAATTGATTTTCTTATCATACTATAAAAAATAGAGAAATACCAATCGAAGATATTAAAAGATAATCATTTCTATGATTCAATTTTGCAGTTGGGAATGTTGAGTCTTTCTCTGAAATCATTTTAGAGTTGCTTGTAAAACCAATTCTCAGACCTCCGGTTAAGAAAGCGAACCGGAGGGTCCAATGATAATGCTACAAAATGGTTGGATGCATCTGATTAACAATTTAATTACAAAACATACAATTTAATTATACGTTGTTTACATACC